ATACAAGGCCAATATGGAGGATTACACTACACCTACCAAGGCCAAGCATGAGATGGCTTTGCCAACAAAAATCAGAATTATATCATGGCAAAATAACCCCAAAAACACACTGAAATGATAGCTCGCAAGCTTAGGCATGAAGGCATACACAATGGCTCATGTTTAAGGCACAAAGCACAAACTCTCCAATGCTTTGAAAGAGTGACACATGCGAGTGTATAACCACACTACATGCACTGAAATCACATATTAAATGATGCCAAATCATGAAAATAGTCCAAGCAATGCATGCTAATGGCTTGGAAACTCAAAGCTAGTGAGCTAGATTGAACCATGGCCATACAAAGCAATGCATGCATGACCAAAACAACATAAAGCAGAGCTAGAGCATGCTAAAACATGACCAAAAGCTTGCTAAAGTTAAGCCAAAATCATGCTAGAATGATGGTCCAAAGCATGATACACATCAGGCTAGTGAATGGAAATGCACTACAAGTGCAAGAAGCATGCAAGGGGCTATCAAACCAACCCAAAACAGAGTTATGACATGCTAAAACAACACCAAAAACAAGCTGAGATGGAGCCAAAACATGCTAGATAAACATGCTCAAACATGAGGCTAATAAGGCAAGTAACCAAGATACAAGGAGAGGAGATGACCCCCTCCTATTTGGGACCTCAAAACACAAGTTTTACTACTGAAAATCCACTGAATTTCAGTGGTTAAAAGGCCAAGAGAAAGTGATCTCAAGAGCCTAAAGTGACGGTGCAAAACAAAGCCAAACAAGGTATGCAAGGGAGTAGATCACCCCCAACACCAAAGGAGCCTTAAACAAACATGTTAAGGACTAAAAATCAGAACTTTTTACAGTATAAAGTTAGGCCTAAAACAACATGCAAATAGGGCCAAAAGCTCAATCAAAAACAAGGGTTTAAGAGGTTAGAAGCTCACCCTTGTAGAACAACTTTAGAGCAACAACTCCAGCAGCTTTTTTGGATCAAAACCAGTCCAAAAACACCAAAACCAACTTCAAAGTGAAGGCAACAATGCACAACCCTTAGAGGCACTCAAAGGGTGAAAGAAGTGGGAACATGGCAATGCTACATGCTCTGAAATACCATGTTAAATGATGCCAAATCATGTACATGTCACAAATGAAGCATGCTAGGAGGCTCAAAGCTTAAAACTAGCATAAGCACTTGCACTATAGCTATGCAAAACATGAAGCATATGGCCATTATAACCCAAAACAGTCCTAGATCATGCTAAATCAAGGTTAAAACATGCACGGAGTATAGTCAAAACAAGCTAGCATGAAGGCATGAGGCATGGAATATACAAGGCCAATATGGAGGATTATACTACACCTACCAAGGCCAAGCATGAGATGGCTTTGCCAACAAAAATCAGAGTTATATCATGGCAAAATAACCCCAAAAACACACTAAAATGATAGCTCGCAAGGTTAGGCATGAAGGCATACACAATGGCTCATGTTTAAGGCACAAAGCACAAACTCTCCAATGCTTTGAAAGAGTGACACATGCGAGTGTATGACCACACTACATGCACTGAAATCACAAATTAAATGATGCCAAATCATGAAAATAGTCCAAGCAATGCATGCTAGTGGCTTGGAAACTCAAAGCTAGTGAGCTAGATTGAACCATGGCCATACAAAGCAATGCATGCATGACCAAAACAACATAAATCAGAGCTAGAGTATGCTAAAACATGACCAAAAGCTTGCTAAAGTTAAGCCAAAATCATGTTAGAATGATGGTCCAAAGCATCATACACATTAGGCTAGTGAATGGAAATGCACTACAAGTGCAAGGAGCATGCAAGGGGCTATCAAACCAACCCAAAACGAAGTTATGACATGCTAAAACAACACCAAAAACAAGCTGAGATGGAGCCAAAACATGCAAGATAAACATGCTCAAACATGAGGCTAATAAGGCAAGTAACCAAGATACAAGGAGAGGAGATGACCCCCTCCTATTTGGGACCTCAAAACACAAGTTTTACTACTGAAAATCCACTGGATTTCAGTGGTTAAAAGGCCAAGAGAAAGTGATCTCAAGAGCCTAAAGTGATGGTGCAAAACAAAGCCAAACAAGGTATGCAAGGGAGTAGATCACCCCCAACACCAAAGGAGCCTTAAACAAACATGTTAAGGACTAAAAATCAGAACTTTTTACAGTATAAAGTTAGGCCTAAAACAACATGCAAATAGGGCCAAAAGCTCAATCAAAAACAAGGGTTTAAGAGGTTATGGTTAAAAGGCCAAGAGAAAGTGATCTCAAGAGCCTAAAGTGATGGTGCAAAACAAAGCCAAACAAGGTATGCAAGGGAGTAGATCACCCCCAACACCAAAGGAGCCTTAAACAAACATGTTAAGGACTAAAAATCAGAACTTTTTACAGTAGAAAGTTAGGCCTAAAACAACATGCAAATGGGGCCAAAAGCTCAATCAAAAACAAGGGTTTAAGAGGTTAGAAGCTCACCCCTGTAGAACAACTTTAGAGCAACAACTCAAGCAGCTTTTTTGGATCAAAACCAGTCCAAAAACACCAAAACCAACTTCAAAGTGCCTCAGCAACAAGAGTATGGCGTTTCACTATGTTTTTGTGTGCAAAAGTGTGAAGAATAGACACTTTTGAGCACAAAAATGAAGTGAAATGAAGAAGTATAGAGATAGATGATATGTATAGCTCAAGCAACTTTTTTCTGAACCTGGAGAAGGGAGAGAGGGCCTCCCTTATATAGAAGAACAAGCAACAAGCTTGTTGAGGAAGCTAAGAGCTCCAAGCCATCCCTCCATACACATTGAGGATGGTTTCTGTGCCTTCCAGCTGTTACAGCTGGCAAGAAAAGATCTTCAAAAAGGTGCTGGAAAGCTGCCAACCACTTGAAGTGGTCGGCCAGCTACTTTTTCTGGTCGGCCAGGACAAAAAGTGGTCTCCCAGAAAGAAAAGTGGTCTCCCAGGGGGGGGAGTCTACACCAGGAAAGCAAGGTTGTGGCATGGTGGGAGACCACTTTTCCAGCTCCAAACCACTTGTAGACCACTTACAGGGAAGAAAACTGGCTGGCGGGGAAGAAAAGTGATTTTTAGGGAGAGAAACTGGTCTCCTACCCTTATTCCACCCTCCAAGTAAGGAAAATAAGGTTTGTACCAAAAACAAACCAAAAAGGATGAAAGACGAAAGTCCGGGGGGCGAGGCGCGCAGCCGGAAGCCTCGAAAACTTGTTTACGGGCACCAAAAGTGGTCTACAAGGGAAAAGTGGTCTCCCAGACCTCAGTGTCCCTCTAGACCAAGGCAACAAGGCATGGTCCGAAAACCAAGCCAAGAGGAGAACATTAAGCGGTCCGAAGACAAGGCGCGCGGCCGAAGACTCCAGAAACCAAAAACTAGTCTCCAAGAGGGAAAAGTGGTCTCCAAGACCTCAGTGTCCCTCTAGGCAAGGGAAAACAAGGTTAAGTTCAAAAGCAAGACAAGGCGCTCGGCCAAAGGCTCTGGAAACCGGAAACTAGCCTACAAGAGAGAAAAGTGGTCTACGACCACAAGAAGTGGTCTACAGACCTCTCTCTCCCTCCAAGCAAGGGAAGACAAGGTTTGGTTCACAAACCGAGCCAAAACACAAAGAGTTCAGAGGCCCGAAGGCAAGGCACTCAGCCGAAAACTCCAGAAACTCGAAACGAGGACAAACATGCGCGATCATCGAGCACTCAATCGATGACGTTTGAGTCTTAAGGTCAGTCAAAAATGGGGTGTCTACACTCTACTGCCGAAGCTGAGTACCGTACTATGCCTCATGCTATTGCTGAGATTGTTTGGCTTCGTTGCCTCTTATTTGATTTGGGTGTCCCTCAGTCTTCTCCGACCTCCCTCTATTGTGACAACCGCAGTGCTATTCAGATTGTCCACAATACTGTCTTCCATGACTGGACGAAACACATTGAGATTAATTGTCACTTTGTCCGACAGCATCTGCAGTCTGGCTCTATCTCACTTCCTTTTGTCTCTTCGGCTTTGTAACTTGTGAACTTCTTCACCAAGACTCACACTACCACTCGGTTTCAGTTTTTTCTTAACAAACTCTCAGTGTTTTCTGCTAAAACACCTTGAGTTTGAGCGGGGGGTGAGAATATATTGTGTATATTCTCAATTTGGCATGATTGTATATATTAGGAATTAGGAATTAGAAAATATTGTGGTGTAAATATTTGAATTGGCTATTTCCTTTTTCAGTCATAGGTTTAGGGTTATATAAACTGATGAACTCCTTGTAAATATATACAATTGAATATATAGTTTCATTCAAAAACTTACAATACATACTTTTGAAACTGAACAACACAGCACACTGCTGCTGGATGTACATAGTTCCAAGTAGATTTCCTTGCTACTTGATATTAATTTATTTTCATAAATAAAGCTTAATTGATTGATTTTGTTCACAATGCATCTACTGTATTGATTGATTATTTTTGTGTTTGTATTTGTTGGTAAAATCTTTGCCTAATAAGCCTAATAACATTGAGGTTATGGATTCAAGTCACGGCACAATCACTTTGTACACTATACCAAAGGTTAGGATGTACCCAATCTTTCCCCTCCCAAACACACATTAATATATACTAATTGGGCGTTGGTTATTTCTTTATTATAGATTTCCTTGGGATGGCCGGGGATGAGGCAATACTTGTGATATTTGTCTTGGGAGGACACATTTTATTTGGTGGTTTGATTTGATGGATGCTGTTGCACATATGCAAAATGATACTTATTCCACCAAAGTGTCTACCATTTCAATTTTCAACATCTCATGAGAGTCAGGTGTATTTTATTATGACACAAAATTACATTTGTTTTGGTTCAGAGAGAAATATCAATAAAAACAGTAAGAATATAGTGAAACTGTTCTGGATCAGTATAATGTGTACATTAGTAACAGAAATTAAAGGACAATATACACATCACAGTGTATTCAATGTCCACAAGAGTATCAAAACTGCATAAAATGACTGTAAGAAAAAATAAAATGTGAGAAGAGACCAAGTCTAAGAATGTTATTGTTTGTTGTAAAACCCACACTACATAGTAGTAAGAAGATGGACCTGAACCATGTATAAACTGACGGGACCAACAGAAATGACGAAAAAAACCAACAAACGGGATAGCATGGCTTATAAAAGTAGGTAAATAAAGAATAAATCAATAAATGGAGATTTGGAAGCAATAGAGAGCGTGATAAATTACCAATTGCAGACTGGTTGGCATCATTGCGCATAAGCTCATCGGCTTCTTCAACTGTCTCTGCTGTGACAGGGGGGCCTCCAAAGCTCATGTGATTGTACTCCGTTAACAATGCCTTGTCAAACTGGAACCCAGGTTCTGCCCAACAACAACAACAGCCCAATCAATCAATCAATCAATCAATCAGATAATCATTTTTATATTTATTATTTACCTCAAATACACAGGTATTTTTGTATATAGAGGATTTTGAAGATATGGGAAATATAGGCATGTATGTGGGTATGGGTGTGACCTCTTGGGGCATTCATTCGCTTTTCAAATAGCCGAACTGGATCAGAACCTTCTAAACATGCCGCATAAATGATTAACCTGACATCGGAATCGGAATATAGTTAGTTAGTTAGTTAGTTAGTTAGTTAGAGATGTGGATTAGGGGGAAAATAGACGAGTCTAATAAGTGTGTGTGTGTGTGTGTGTGTGAGAGAGAGAGAGAGAGAGAGAGAGAGATACAGAGCGAGCTCTCGGGCGGCTCTGGGGCTGCAAAACCTCCCACTCTTGTCGATTTTGGGAAGAAATTCTTTCGAGGACGAGGATGACGATGAGGATAAAGGGGGGTTCGCAGCAGCAGGCTTTTGGAGCACTTCCGCTTCCGCACGATGAAATGCGCGGTTTTGAGGGAGGAAACCAACAATTCGGCATTTCCCCAAAGGAGACGACGATGATGATGATGGTGATGAAAGGTTATAATTCAAAACGAATTGGGGTTTCGCATAAGAGATCATATATGAACAATAACTACTGCTACTACTCAGCACACACCTGCTTGCCGCCATTCTATTCAATTCTATTCTATTCTTCTCCTCTCCTCTTCCTCTCTTTACCCAGACCAGACTGCTCCTTACCAACCTACTACTTCAAATCGTGACCTCCACAACGCTTGGCATACATACACGGATAACTCTTTTTTTTTTTTTATATCTCTTTTTTTTAATAGTAAATTTTAGGAGCTGACGTCATAAATTTAATTTGGTTATCATCTCCTATAAAATTTAAAAATAGAATAATGACTTGCACCCCTTTTTTTTCACCCCTTGACCCTCTCTTCACCTGATTGGCTACTTTTTCTTTTCTTTTTTTTTTTTATACCTTCTCCTCCTTTCACCACCCGCCACGTGTCTGTGGGGGTGGTGATTGGAGGGGGTCTCAATCATCACCCTTAAAAATATATATAATCCTCTCCTCTTCCTCTCTTTACCCAGACCAGACTGCTCCTTACCAACCTACTACTTCAAATCGTGACCTCCACAACGCTTGGCATACATACACGGATAACTCTTTTTTTTTTTTTATATCTCTTTTTTTTAATAGTAAATTTTAGGAGCTGACGTCATAAATTTAATTTGGTTATCATCTCCTTTAAAATTTAAAAATAGAATAATGACTTGCACCCCTTTTTTTTCACCCCTTGACCCCCTCTTCACCTGATTGGCTACTTTTTCTTTTCTTTTCTTTTTTATACCTTCTCCTCCTTTCACCACCCGCCACGTGTCTGTGGGGGTAGTGATTAGAGGGGGTCTCAATCATCACCCTTAAAAATATATATAATAAATTTCAGAAATTTATCATAATTATATTGGGGGGAAAATTGGTGATAAATCCAATTTGAAGGGTGTTTAAGGCATTAGGTCTAATGGATATTTTTTATTGGTGAGAGGTATATCCTTTGTGAAATAGTTTGGTAAGAAATCATTTTATTTGTTTTAAAAGACATTTTATTTTTAATTTTACACATTGATTTATCTATTAACTTTTTTTTTTACTATCTCTTCAAATTTATATCGACAGTAATGATTGAGACCCCCACAAAACATCACCCCCACAACCCCCACTCACTTGTGATTGGTCCAAGTAAGAAAGAGAAAATAAAAAAATAAATAATACAAATACATCATTGGTCCACATTATTGTGGGGGTAATGGGGATCTCCCCAAAAGGGGGTCCCAAACATTATTCTTTATATCTATATGTTTAAATTATTTTCTATCTATTTAAATTTATATCTATCTATTTAAATTTTTTTTCCTTTTTTATTCAATTTTTTGTTATCTGTTGAAATTTTACCTTACCAAGGCGATGATCTATTCAATTTTTTCAACTATCCATTGAAACATTTTTTTATCTGTTGAATTTTTATAACCTATTTTTTCTATTTGTTCAAACAAATCAAAGCAAAAAACATAGATTGAACATTTTCTTATCTGTTGATGTGGAATATATTAGAATACACCAGTATATCCCAAACACCAAACAAAACTTGATTCAGCAACACCTAAACCATACTCCATATCAATATAGCAGCCTCTACTATTAAGCATAATGCATTTATGAAACATACATAGTAACTCCATTAAACTAGTAGAACTCCACTGAAGCAACAACTGTTGAAATCCATCCATATGCAAACACATCACCAACAATTGCCAAAAATGTGAGAGAAAGAGAGAGAGGGGTGTTGGATCACTTTTTTCACTTTATTTATAGCTTTTGATTTCACACTTGGCATCGGAATCCATAACCTCTATCTGTAGTCTCTCTATATATCTATATCTATATGCGTACACTGAGCATTTCAATCCTCGATTCCTTAAAAAAAAATTCAAAATTTACTATTAGGGTTTCAAAGAATATGAATAAAATTAGAAGAGCATCACATGAAGGATCATGGTATACCGACAATTATGCTGTAACTAGATCTGAGGGCGAAGTCTAGATTTAAAGAGAGAAAGGTGGTGCGGTAGGTGTTTAGGAAAGAAACAGAGAGACAGAGGAGAAGGGAGCGACCGAAGACCGTATAGGTGACAGAGAAGACGCGGTCGATGGCTACATTAGAGTAGAAGTAGTCGACCGTGATGGCTATGTTGTGATGGTGTCAGTGTTGACGAAGGAAAAGAGAAGAGAGAGGTCATGGCAAAAGCGGCAGTGGTGGTGATGGTAATGGAGTGGCGGCAGGTGAGAGGAAGTAGTAGTGATAGAATAAGAGAAATTGCGGAGAAGGAGATTGAAAGGGTAGGGTTTGGTTTGGAAAATAATATATATACATGGGTAGTTTGGTCATTTTACAAGAACTTGTCAGGACCCAAACCTGGTACCTAAAGGTTTAGCGTCGCAATAAGATAAAAATAAAATAATTCTAAAATTTCTGTAGTAATAACGTAACAGATAAATTAAATAAATTAAAATAAAATAAATTGGTACCAAAAAATTTAGTAAAAAGAAAATAGTCATCTGAGCTTCATTTTATTACAAGAGTCCGATCATAATTACAGATAGTAAAAAAAAACAAAAAAAAAACTCTGCAGTTCATTTCCAATCCCGATCCCACTAAATCTCATCACCTAAAAAAGAATAACAGCTATAAGCACATAGCAGAGTGAGAAATATTATACATTGAGCATAAGGGTCCCAAAAATTCATGGATAATTATTAGGCTAAACAGAAATTAGTTTGGTAACTGAAATACATAACTAAGTTTAATTAGCAGAAGTAGAATGCGAAAATTATATAGCAAATAATCATAACCACGGTACAGAACAGAACAGAACAAAACAGGGGTCACTAGAGTGACAATCAGAACAGGGATCAATGGATCATTGACAAACAAAGGACCACAAAGAAGCCAAACAAAGGCCAATGGTTTATTTTAGTTTCCCAAGGCGTGAGACTCCCGTGGTGGTACTTATAGAACATAATCGTTTATAATATTATTGTCAAATAATTTTTAAAATTTAAACAAACATATCCATAGGTTTCAATTTAAAAAGTTTAGAAAATAATCTACGTAATTGAAACATTAATGTAACTATAAAACATAAATTATATAAATAAATTATGATAACTCAAAATATTCGTAAAATATATTATGGTAACTCAATGTATAATATAACTCACCTTAATATCAACCCTTAGCCTTTACTTTCCTACTATAAACTCCTCGCTATTAGCACGCTGCTCTTAGTTATTTGTATCTCCCTATATTTTCAAAGCTCTCTCCGTCATTCACTAGTTATAGGTGGTAATTGCATGGTTTCTTACACGTGGCTTACTTAAAATTGGCCACCTGTCTAACAAGTGCCATTTCCTCCCTTATCAAGCCTGGTGATTCACCTAGGCTACATGGCTTGGTCACCATTCTATATATTAGGATGGTGATAAGCCACCTTTTTTTAAAAATAAAAAATAAAAATTTACTTCAAATTTTCTTTATTTACTCTTGGCCCACAGCTTAAAGTATTTACAAATAGGGATGTTACAATTACTAGGGAATTGTATTTATTTATTATATATATATATATATTTCCTATTCATGAGTAATTACTATAAATACAATATTAAATTAAAAAAAAATCGAGTGTTACAGAACTTGTTCTTATGGACAAAGTATTTGAGAGCCTAAATCTTTAGGCAAAGAAAATCCAAGATTGCATTTATCGCCTGAGCACCCTTATATTGGACTCTATTAATATTTTTAATTCTTATAGTACTTGCCCTTTTTTCATTAAAAAGTCTTTGATCGTATGAATGAAAAAATAATATTGTTACCTCTTTTATATTAAAATACATATATTTATCTAACCTTATATATCTTTTAGTGTTAATATCATCTGTATTAGTTTTTGTCTCTTTAACCTTACTAAAAAAAAAATGTCAATATAATTATCGCAAAATTATGAGGTTTGCTATATTTTCTCTAAATCTCAAGGGACGTAAGTGTAATTTACCCATTCAATTTTCAAACTTATTTGGTAATCACTCCTGCCACTAAACTCTTAAGGTCACAACAACATACATTTTCTAAACCAAACCAAACCAAACCAAACCAAGCCTTAACTCCCATCAAATGGGGTCGGCTGCATGAATCATTTTTCTCCACTTGACTTTATCCAAAATCATTTCGTTAGTCAAATTAAGGAGATTCATATATCTATTTACTACACTAGACCAAGTCAATCTAGGTCTACCCCTTCTCCTAACACTACCATCTACCGTCACTGTATCGCATCTCTTCGCTACTACCTTTGTAGGTCTCCAACCAAACTATCTCAATCTATTTTCTCTCAACTTATTTTCTATCGGTACTACTCTTACCCATCCTCGAATATACTCATTCCTAACTCTGTCTTTTCCAGTCTTGCCACACATCTACCTTAGTGGCCTCATCTCAGCAACACTCATTTTATCTACATGTTGTTTTTTAGTTGCCCAATATTCTGTCCTATACAACATCGCTGGTCTAATAGTCATTCTATTTCCCTTTTAGTCTAATGGGTACTCATTTATCGCACAATACTCTAGACATATTCCTACACTTAAGCCACCCCGCCTTAATTCTATGGATCATATCCGCTTCAATCTCTCCAGTCGTTGTGATAATCGATTATAAATTATGAAAATGTTCACTCTTAAGTAGTTATTGGTTCTTAATTTTCACATCTCTTCTGTTTTTATTATTACTAGTACTAAAATTACACTCCATATACTTTGTCTTAGTTGTGCTTATCCTAAATCATTTAGATTCAAGTGCTTCTCTCCAAGTCTCTAACTTAGTGTTAACCCCTTCTTTATTATCATATACTAACACGATATCATTTATAGAAAGCATATACCATGACATATTATCCTGAATAGTTCTCGTCAACTTATCCATAACTAAAGCAAAAGATAAGGATTTAAGGTTGATCCTTGGTGTAACCCCATAGTAATTGGAAATTCAGTTGTCTCTCCGGCTGGTAATCTAATAATGGTCACCACATCTTCATGCATGTCCTTAATCACATCAATGTTTTGTTGCCCCTTTTTTCTTTAACACCCACCAGATTATATCCAGAGGCACTCTATCATATAATTTCTCAAGATCGATAAAAATCATATGAATGTCTATTTTCCTC